TTACTTTATAGATGTTTTTTATATTAAAATGTTTTAATTGTGTCAATCCAGGGCAAGACGATATTTACCTAAAACAGTATAACTCAAAAGATCAGATTCAGCAATATATTCATAAAGAACCAGGAGTGCATCATAATTATGGAGATTCAGCAAAAGATGCTTCAAAAGCAGGTTACTTTTATTTTTTCATTAAGGCACAACGTACTTAATTAGGGTACCCAAAAATCCCATTTCATGGAGTAGTACCACCTAAGGGGGTGTAATAAGCTATTTTGGTTATACTGTAGAGATTTTTTTTAATGTTCTAAACACTTCTGGAAGTTAGTACATGTAATGGCATGTAAGCTGAGCCAGAGCTCCATTTAGGAGATACAGCTTTGTTTTTACTGCCCCTTAGTGCTTCACTTTTAAAGTGATAGGAAACCAATTTCTGATTACAAATCAATGGGTTACCATGTCACCCTCAGACAGTAAATTCAGTTGTTGATATTAGATAGTAAAGTAGGATATTATAAAAGCACAAATGCTGGAACTTTAATAAGTCTGTTTGGCAAAAGTAGAGCAAAACAAGCTCAATTAACATTATTGCAAGGTCCTCCCTCCCTCCCCCCCTTTCTGTCTCGTCACTCACATTCTAGGACCAATTCTCTTAATGCTAGTCACTTGGGAACTGTTTATCACTCATTTGAGTGTCACCAACAGAATAATAAAAATGCAATGAAATAAACATATGCATGAGAAATGCAAGGCAAAAGTATCTCAGACCAGGATTTAGTAAAAATTCCTTGCTGAGTCTTCTTCCGTTATCTGTACAGTACAATTCTTAGGAAACATAATAGAAACAAAAACTATGTATGCTCCTGTCATGTAAGATACCTTTTGATGAAGCCTCTTTTTTCTTTAAGCTTTTAAGATAATCTTAGAGAAATCATCAAACTATAAAAAGAAATCAATAAAACAGAAAAGGTTCCCATCACCCCTAAAAAATCCATAACTTTTGCATTTTAATAGAGACGCTACAAGACTATACCAGTTATTTTCTTTCTGATGTGTTCCTTTGATTTCACTCTTATCTCACAGGACTCTTGACTTTCCTGAGAAAGGGATTATTGAATTGTGTGTCTCCCTCAGATGCTCTTGATCATTCAAGTAGTCTGTACTTAAGAATGTTACAGAGTCTGCTCAGCTGCTGGCTCCTTGGGAACTCATCGGGGACTGTCATCTTAATATTAATTGGGTTTTGTGCAGGAATCCAAGTCCCACAATGAGAGGGTTTCAAGAGAGAAGATTATGCCCAAAGCCAGATATAAAGACAAACATATTTAGCACAACAATTATGATAATTGCAGAAACACTCTGAGAAATAAGTAAATCTGATTAAGGGCACTTCTACATGATCAAATATTAATCTGATGTCTTCACTCTAACCTGGTTTGAACATAAGAGGCTTCTTATGGTTTTATGTATTAACAGATTTGTAAGAGCTGAACTCATAGTACCTAATAATATGGTACATCCAAGTCAATACAGTAAAAGGATCTTTAAGTAATGTAATCCACTTAAATTAAAAATAGACACAGATTCAATCATAAACCTTAAATTAAAATTAAAATACAGTTAATCACACTTTTTATATAAAACCTGGTATAAGCTAACTTAGTACCTTTTCCATTTCATAGAAGGGTTTTATATATATAGCTATATATAGATATCTATATATCTTCCTGGTTAATAGACTCTTTTCAAAACAAAATCATAACTAATACATCAGTACACTGCATTTAACCCTTTTAAGACATATTTAATAACCACATAAATAGATATGGGGCTGAAGACTCATTTCTAGTTGCATATAAGAATTATTTTAAAAAAATATATATGGAGCAAGGCAATTTAGATTTAAACAATTTGATTAAACCCTTTCAATTGACCTCTTTACAGTCATTATAATTTGAGATATTTATTTTAAACTCTCTGGTCAATATTGTGCATCTGAATCACGTTAGCAAAGTGTAATCTTAAAATATGATAAGAAGCAACAAAGAAGAGGCCATCAAAACATTAGCAGTGTTTTTTACAATTTGCAAAATTTACAGCCTTTAAATACTAATCATATTGCTGAAGATCTTGTCCTACTTCTAAAACAAATCCAATGCGGTAACATTGACACAGTTCAAAATGCAATATTGTACATATATTAGACACATGCTAAATACACCATGTATGTGTGCATACCTTCATTTTTATAACCACCTTGCATTAAAGATGTAGCTGTAGAGAGTGCACCATACTTCTTACATAATAATTTGAAAACACAAACACTTACAGAAAACCAAAATCTTGAAAGTTCTCAATGAAACACCTGTGCTTCTATTTAATAATATAATTATATGTTACTGTACATATATATAAAACACACAAGACATGCAACGTTTTTGGGGAAAGGTACCACACAGGTTTTCATGTAAATTACCATGTGCAAATGAATTATTTCAACCTTCCAGCCTTTTTTATGTATCTGTTTATTGAGAAGTATTAGCTACATATAGACCTTGTAGGTAGAAGGTAAATCTTGCCAGCATGGCTTATCTCCCATAGTAATTAGGCTTGTGTTTCTGCTTTATTAACTCTGATACAACAGTGTCCTGCCCTCTGTCACCAGGGGTACTAATAGATGATAATCACTACGATTTGGAAACCATACAAATTAAATGATGAAGTGAGAGGAAGTGAAGTAAAGCAATGAGTTCAAGGACAAGTGGGTTAGTCATTTAAATATTCATTTTCAGAATGTAAAAAGGAATTTTACATTTCATATAAAATAGCATTTATTACAAACTATTAAAAATTTCTAAGATGATAAATATACACACCAGTGAAATATTAACCCTTTTGAGAGAAGATAAAATATTTTGCTTTATTACATGAGATAAAGTTTCCTTGCCCTAAATGGAAAGTGGAAAGATATACATTTCTTAGAGAATTAAATATAATATTTCAACATCTTTCTTAAACAACATTTTATGTTTGTAAGGGTAAAATGTATTTCCTTTTCTCAGTGTAAATATTTCAACAGGTCTATAGAGATATTCTCTAATTATATTTCTATTTGCATTGCCCCTAACACTAGGTAAGTTCTGATGATAATTCCTAGATTTTGAATGGTACTTTTTATCTGGTGATCTCACAACTGGACTTTCCACATCAATTAACAGTTTTAAATTTCTTAATTATCAGTGCTTATTAATTGTCTATCAGAAAAAAATAGAGACAACGGCAAAAAAAAGTAAAATTTAGGTAAAAAATAGGCTGTCATTATTTTCCTCTGTCAGGTATTTATTAATAGTTACAACAGCTAAAAACAGGATTTTGGCAAAAGTAATTTAACATGTAGCTTTACATTTTTTGGCTTTCTTAAAAGTATGCCAAGATATCCAAATGATTTTTCCTGCTATGTAGGACAGGTTAAAAACTCAATGGATTAAAATTGAAAATTGAAATTTCATTAAATATCTTTTCAAATCAATAATTCTTTTTTGTATTACTAACAAAATACTTATGCCTTTGCAACATTACATGTCATATCGTACACATGACTTGCGATTTGATTCTCATATGCTTGATTTAATAGATTTATATTTAAGAGATATTTTTCTAGCAGCAAAATGGATTCATAGATTTTAAAAAATAGCTTGACTAATTCTTTATGTCAATTTCAGCTCTCTCGTAAGTAGGTGAGTGCTACTGTACAAGTAAAATACAACAGTATAAAGCAATTGTTTAGATTAAGTAGGTTTTTAGGTTTGAGATGGTCATAAATCATTATTTCAATATTCATGTTATTTATTATTTCACCTTCCCCAATAATATACTATGTCACAATCCATATTAGCATTTACAATTAGGAGCTTTCTTTGTGAAACAGAATGCAAAGTATCATGATCATTAAAACTTCTGACTTTACAAGGGCCTACTTCATACATTGTAAAAATAAATAACCACAGTACTATTTTTGTAGAAATAAGGCAAGTACAAAGATCACTGTATTTCTGTAATTCCTAATAGATAGCCTGTAAGATATACAAGATTCTTTAATGTTAAAAAACACAAACAAACATGATACCCAAAATAAGTTGCAAATCTGGATACAAAAAACAAATTTTAATTGTATAAGAGAAAGTTGCAAAGATATCATTGTTATTTTTACATTCATCTTAATAGTTCTGCAAAATGTGCTCCATTGTTGTACCAGAAAACCTCCTGTATAGCTGGAGCATTAAAAAGTTGATTTCATTTTAAAAGCTGTGTCCACCATAATGATTTAGAAAAAAACCTCCTAAAAATGATAGTTTCCATCTTTGGGGAGGAAAAGCTTTACAGACAAAACACAAGCACAGATACTTAGCTAATAATCATCCAACTAGCCACTCTGTGTTCTGAAGAATTGTTTTCCATGGTTAGCATGTTTACATTCATTCAATTCTAGTTGCAGATTATGGCAATTAGATATTTATCCTCTTTGGGTCTATTTAATGTACACTGTTTTTATTTATGTTGAACTTGAATCCATTATCAGAAACAAAGCTGCATACATATAACCCTAACCAATTGCTGGAGATGCATACAGACTACTGCTTGTTTACTTTGGGAAGACTAATCTTATGGCATGCATTAAAAATGTTGTACTTGTCACTGACTAATACAGCAAATTGAAACCTTGGAACAATCTTATTTACAATTCAAGTGCAGCACATTTAATTCTTGCATCAGAATTTTTGTTTAACCCTTTTGTGAAAAAAATAACCGAAGCTCAGGGCAGTATATAGCAACACCACAAAACAAAGCATGAATGCAAAGTCATTTAATTTTTCTAACATACAATTTTTTACTAAGAGACATGCCTAGCAAACAACATATTGGGCTAAACTTAACTGATTTATCCTTTGGCTAATGTATGGCATACAGTTGAATATTTTAACTGTTTTGAGCTATCCATGTAAGCCAGGCTTATTGTTTAAAGAAAAAAAATCATCACTGCTTCATCTGTATTCCACGAGCAAAAGCTTAGCTGCTGTTTTTACTTACAGTTCTCAGCATTTCTTTGTCTTCTACACCATTTTAGCTCTTTAATATTAAAGTTTTATGAGTTATTCTATCAGAAAATTCAAACCCTTTACTAAGTGACATTAACAGTTACACTTGGTTTAAATGAGGTTGGGTACCCCTTCTTCTACCAGAAAAAACAATATATGGCATATGTTAACATCTAAGGACTGAAAACATATCCAGTAAAATAGTCTCCCAGACTAAAGGAAATCACTACTTAATTCCACAAACATTTGTTTCAGCTCAGGAATTACACTAGAAACTTTTAGCAGTTTTCTGGTTCAATAGTGCTCTGTTCGATACGTGCACTCATAACATGCTGCACAGCACCATCTGCTGGCTTTAACAATGGGTTTAGGAGATCTGTCCAGGAAACCAGAATCAATTATTCTCAGCCTTATATGAAATTCAAAAAGGACACCATTACTCACCTCAGCTCAGTAGAGTTCCTGAATTCTACACAATTTCACTATAGAAAAAGAGAGAATATGGTAAGAAGTTTATATAGTGACATCTGAAAAATCAGGTATAGATTAAATCTGTGCACCAGGACCTTAGTCAAGGTACATGAGAAGCTGAGTTTCCTTTGTTGTCATCTGTGAAAGAAGAGTTTCTTTCCAACTGCATTCTTGCTCTAAATCTACAATTCTCTCTCTCAGGGGCAAGGATGGGTCTTATCAAGAACCGCATACAGAAGATTGCATGTTGGATTAATCTCTGCTTGACAAATACTAAAGTCAGAACAAGTACATTTATTTTATATTCTGACTTCTTTTGCATAGAAATAAGAAATAAAAAACTGTGTGTGTGAAAAAAAATAATTGTCAAGACTTCATACAGCAAATGGACAGAATAAGCAACCAGTATTCACAGTAATACCATTAGAGGGCTATAACAGCTAAAACAGCCTCAGAAATATTTTTAGACAAATACAGAGATGCCTGGATGAGTGAATTTCAGTAGCTGTTTAAATTAAAAATGGTTATTCTCCTTTTTAAACTGCTATTTAAAAGGACTGGGACAACAACCTCTACTTTTTATATGTTAAAAGTGATATTCAGTTTAGCTAATCCCTGCCAAACAAAAAAGTAGTATTTTGTTTACCACTTAACAACAAATTCTAAAAAGCAACCAATCTTCACACAATTTGCACAAAAAGTGGTATACTTTTCCAGGATCCCAAACTGTAGACTTGTTTTTCTATGAAATGTACATGCGGACAGAAGCAGTGCGTGGGGTAACAGTTAAGGGCTGAATTCTACAGTATTAATGGACCTTTTTGTTTAAGTACTACTCTAGAAGATAGACCTTCAGACTTGGGTCCAAAGTCTTCACTCCATTAAGTTCCTCTTAACTTATGGTAGCCAAAAAGTATAGATTGGAAATCCAGATTCCAGTCACACCTCAGACTTCTCCCTGTAAATTAATTTGTTTACTTGATTCCTGTTTCATGAGGTGTGCAGAGGCTTTGGCTGGTGCATGTGCATACCGAGAATATCACACATTTAGTACCCACTGTGGGGTCTCAGTTATGACTCTTTGTGACAGCTTGATGATGAACAGCTGGCCCAGCTGAGAAAGAACGAAAGACACTGGGTAATATCAGCAAAGCACAGCTACAGCTGACCAACATTAACAGAGCTGCCTCTTTGGAATAATTGGCAGACCTCTTCCTTAAAAATCCTATTGTTGATCTTCCCAGGATTAGAGTGTGGTTAGGGTCTGATCCAAAAACCATTGAAGTCAACAGAAAAATTCTCATTGACTTGGGTCAGGTCCTTAGGGCACAGATTTGAAACGCAAAATAACTAGGCTATGTAACTCAACAAAACTAATTTAGGGCCAAATTCTGCTCATTTTTATCTACACATCTGAAATGGCTCCATTGAAATGAAAGGTGGAACTTCAGGTGTGAGCTGGTTTAGTGAGCAAGAATGGAACCCAGCTTCTATTTCCCCTTCTATAAAAATGGGTATTGATACTCCTTAACAACCTACCTTACAAGGATATATCTATCACTGTGCTGGATTTTTTCCTCTGACCTGGAGAAGAATGTGTTGCATTTGAAAGCTTGTCTAACTCTATCCCAGCTAAGCAGTTGGTCCAAGAAAAGATATCACCCAAAGGCATTCTTGCCTCTTGCATATCTATATACTGGAAGTATAATGCACCATCTTTCTGCCCGTGCCATATCTCTATTTCTTGATTCCCACATGCATGAAAAGGAAAAGAGCACACTGGGCAGAAACAGGAGTAAGAAAAAGTTGTGTCAAGGGCCTTCCTGCACCACTGATGAAAGGCTTTAATACTAGTTTTACTGGTGGCAGGGTGATGTCAAGACACGAACTTTTCAACAACAACAAAGGACAGAGTTTCACTTTAGGATAATCTCTGCTAAGTAAATATTGCTACAAAATTTAATTTGGTGAGGCTCATCCCACAATATAATTCTGTTTCAAATTATAGTATATAACTGTCTCTTTCCTTTTAACTTTAGTGACTCTCTGTGGTTGGTAGTTATTAAGTATAATTTTATTTGTCACTGTGGTGGCATGTAATTTTCTCAGATGGTGTGATGTGGCATGAAAGTTTGTATGCCATTTTGCACCAGTTTGCAGTAAACAGAAGTCATTGTTTTATAGGAGAAACAAAGGTGACCAGAAGTGAAATCTCCTGGTGAGGCATGCTATCCACTGACATTTTGTCATGCTAAAACACAGGAGGAAAAAACATGTGTTGTTACTGTGTCTTTACAGAACTAACACATGGCATAAAATAATAAGCCATTTTTAGTTAACTCTTTGTACTATTATAGAGAATACAATACAATCAGAGGAATGAGCTTTAATATGAAAATGAACACTAACAGGAGTTTTAAGACAGTAACAAGACATGTCTGTCAACCTATTCCTAAAAAAGGACCCAACCTGCAACCTAACAATTAACTGTTGCAGTGTACTAATCCCATAAAAGGAATGGACTGAATCTTAGGGCTGTATGAAGCTTTGGTTCCTGATTCAATTTGGCAGCGATTTGACCCAAATCAGTGGTCGAATCTCTGAATCAAATCATCGAACCCTTTAATCTCTCTGAATTGAATCGGAACCCTCTGAATCGATTCAGAGAGATTTGGAACGATTCAGAAATTTGGACATAGACCCAGCTTTAAATGTCTTTTCTACATACCTCTAGGCAGCAATGCTGGGGTGCATGGAGCATCACACAGATGCTCACAGAAGCTCAGGGGGCTCCCCAGCACACTCAGCAGCAGACCCGGAAGTTCATCAGAAGCATTTCTGATCCACTCTGGGTCCACTGGGGAGCGCATGGGGGGCCCTCCCATGTCTCCCTGGTTTGGCAGCCTCCTAGGTGCCTCCTAGGTCTGGAGGGGCACCCAGTGGCTGATCACTGAGCCAGGGAGGCACCGGGTGAGAGCCCCAGCTCATTCCCTGGCAGACCCGGAAATGGACCAGAAGTACTTCCGGTCCACTTCTGGGTTTGCTGTCGAGCACGTGGAGGGCCCCTCCACTCTCCTGTGGGATGCTCCATGAGCCCCAGCATCATAGTGTTCACTAGCTGTGCCTGGTATCTTGAGGTATGTAGGAAAAACTTTTAAAGCTGTGTCTGTGTCCAAATCACTGATTCTCCAAATCAGCATCGAAAATTCAGATTTGGATTTAGCCAAATCGAATCAGAGACAGTGAACGAATCAATGAATCGAATCACTTTCCCCGATTCAGGCCGAATCAGAATCAAATAGGGACCACTTTGCACACCCCTGCTGAATCTTAAGAAATGCCAAACAGTCATTAGATAAGTTGAAATCTCTGGGAGATATGGGAGCTGGCACATCTGAAGATTAGGTATGAATTTTCTCCAGTGCTCCCATGAGAGAATGTTGGAGAGAGAGCATTGCTTCTGGTCACAAATTGATCCTGAACTTAATATTGCATGTTTTCATACAAGCATGCAGGATCTGAAAACAACATGCACGACTGTTTCAAACAGAATCAGCTAACTGAAGCCAATGGGTATTTTGCACATAAAGAGCTATTGTCTTTCTCCTGACTTCAACAGGTTTTGGATCAGGCCATTTACACTGAGATCCATGGGTCAGGAACCAAACTATCTTGCATGTTTTCACAAAGTGTCAGTAAATACTGGACAAACAAAAAACAATGATTTTATTTAATAACAAAAATGATTTATAAAAATGTGACAAAAAAAGCAATTTTGAGGAAAGCCTCATTTTAATTAAATATCATAATATATGAGAAAAATTAAACTTATTTATTAGACTGATCATCTTTTTGTGGAAGGAACCATAATCCTGACATTAAAAAATTAGATCCACAAGCTTCTACTAGCCACACAGCATGCATGCAAGTGTTCAGTTGAACTAATGGAAATTTAGCAGTTTAGTTTGAGCCATTAGAAACCCTACTAGTTGAATATTAGACAAGCGTTCACTGGGCTATCTGCTTTCTTTGCAGACAGACTGCACTTCAAAGGGCACCTAGCTAGCAGGCCCCAGAGCACGCATCCTTGCACACTTTGAAGGGTCCCCAGTCTTCTTGAAGAAAGGTGACCACAGCTAAGGGCCCACATAAGAGATGACTAGGTGGCAGCTCCAGAGGACCATGCTCTCTACCCTGCACAACACCCCCTCTCCCCCTCCACTGTCAGACAGCAGACCCAGAGTGGTACACTGTCTTTGAAAGTCTGCCCATTGCTCCTCCAGCAGCCCACAATGAAACCCTACCTATCTGGCACCATAGAGATCTGGCCACAGTACTCTTGGGGCTCTGGCTGTGGGATGTCCCATCACTGCAGCCAGAGCTTTCCACCAGCAGAGCCCTATCCCACAGCCTTGGAGCTGCAGGCACCCCCTTAAAAGTTTGGAGTGTGAAGCACATGCGAAGCCCTGAACTTGCAACCCCATATACAAGGCTGTGGGAACTGGCTTTGATGTAGGTGGTGGGTGTTTCCCTCTCACAGCATTTCAAAGTCCTGGGACTGCAAGCATGCTGAAGTCCCAGCTCCTGCACTTCCAAACAACATGAGAAGAACTCACCAACACCCACCTTCCCCATCACCAGTATAGACTGGCCCTTCACATGGAGTCCAGGCAGAGAGTGTGGGGCTCTGGGAATGACAGGCACTGGGTCAGGCTGGTCAGTGTGTGTGGGAGGGAGCTTTGGTTCTAACAGCATTCATGCAGGGGTGTAAGTCAGGGAGCTCAGCAATAGAGAGGCTGGATTGGTCAGTGACCATGGGGAGGGATATCAGAGGCTCTGGGAATGGTGGGGTTGGAGGGTCTGGTGCTGGAAGGTCACTTTCCCCATCTGCTTAGGGTTTGGGAGGCTAACAGCCTTACAGCCCTGGGGTTGTGGAGAGGGGCTGGGCTTTCTTAGTCCCTCAGCTCCCAAATGAAATAGTTGGTTGTGTCTTTGGCTACAGAAATAGAGT